GATACACACCGTGCCAGTTACATACTTAAAGCTCAATGAGAGCTATTTTTATCATAGACAATTCTGAATTAGAAAACAATTTAACTAAAAATGTAGACACTGATTTGGGTAGCAAGAGGTGGAACAAGTGAGCACAGGCAAATGAACTATCTTATCTCCTTTTCCCCAACTTCCAAAAAATAAAATATATCATTAATTGTTAGAATCTAAACTAGTAGTTGGGGAAAAGGAGATGACCTACTTCATTCTAAGCAACTAAGTGATAACCAGTTCTAGAGAATACAAAAAAAAAAACTAAATGAAATATGATTTCACCAACTTTTTTCTTCTAGAATTTACATACAGTATACACAAACATTTTCCAGTGTGAATACTGAACTTAATTTCCCAACTAATACAGCAGACTTCAATCATTAGATATTTAATAAAAATTAAATTTGTCAAAGTACATTTAAAATATCACTTGATGTAATACTGTCAAAATGACATTATTAAACTTTCAACTTGGTGACAGTATATAATCTTGAGGGAATAATACTTAACACAAGACACATTCAGTTTTTCCATTCCCAATCTACCCTAGTAGAATTAGTAAAATCTGTTTTACTGGTTTCTGACTATCCACAAGTCTTTCTGTAAGTAAACATTTCGTTAATGTCAAAAGAAGTCTGCTTATTAAATAATGGACAATTAGTATTTATGTTTCTAATGTCCCAAATTAGCATTTTTATTTCTTTAAATCTAGAATGGAAAATGAGTGTCTGACATATGCGTAATTGCCTACAGGTTTAAGTTTCAAACTTAATGCATTATCAACTTCCACTTAATGATTATCACTGTAATGAATATAAAGCAACTTACTACAGTCATGGCCATAATTTAAAACTCAGGCAAAATTATTTCCTTATACCCTCTCAAAAATTAAATGTTAAGATTATACGTTTCTTTTGTTATTGTTGTTATTGTTACTAAAAGAAGGGGGAATTTCTGGCCTAAATATTTTTAACAGGAAAAATTTGCTAGTTTTATTAAGAGGCAAGAGCAGTACATGTCAGAAGAGGCTTTTTCCCCTTATGGTAAGTATAAGAGAGATATAAATAAAAGGAAAATCAAAACTACTCATTAGAATATATCATTCAAACTAAATGTGTGACAAATGTAGTGTGCTTATTCAAATAGTTTCTAGTCAGCACAGAAGGGTTGTCAATGTGTGTACACACAGCTCTAAGTTTGGAGAATAGAGCAAAGTACTTTACAACAGGAGAAAAACAACATATATGCTGTACACTTATTTCTTTAAAAAATATTTTAATAAAACAAAAACTATTGAGGCAACCAGGCAGCTGCATTTATGATCTTAAGGTTTAAACTAAATATATTAGACTAAGCTTTTTTTTAAAATTCAAAATAAATACATGAAAACACTGATTGGAATCAATCAGTTCAATAATGTATATACAATATTGAAAGAAAATAAATCTTTGCAGTGAAACATGTCAATTACTATTAAAATTTTTTTTAATTAGTAACATTTTTATCCTGGTAATCCCTAAATCAAAATAAAGAAAATCTATGAACTCTATGGGAAATTAAGTACCTCGACATCTGGAAGATGAACACTGTCAGGAAAGTATAAAACTGAATTATCAATTTAAAAATGTAATAGTGTCTCTTTAAAAGTAAGAAAAAATGAAAAAAAAAAAGTAAGAAAAAAGAAATTTAAAATATGCTTAAGATAATCATTATATATTCAGGAAAAAACAATATATTACTTTTTCCATTTTATAAGGTAAAACGGAGAACCAGGGTCTCATCAAAGACTAAAATAGCTTATCTGAGGACATTAATTATTCCCTATACATACTCTTCTACAAAGATTCTTTACTTTGTAAACATACTCAGTTATACCCTCCCAGACATTACCTTTTCTCTGTCTTTTCATTTGTAATGAAGAGCTTACTGAAAGAGTCGTCTACATAACAATGTCTCCACTTTAAAAAAAAATCTGTCTCCTTCAACCACTACTATCTGGCTTCTGCCTTCACATAATAACTGCAGTGCCAAAGCACTGCCAAATTCAAGAAAATTTCTCTGTCCTTTTCATATCTGACAGCCTTACATTGCAATGCACTTACTGACCAGTTCCTCCCAGAGCTTTACTTTTCCTGTGACTCTGGATGCAGCATTGTTTCTGCCCTATTTCCCAGCTCACTCTTTTTCTGTCTCCTCAGCCAGGTCCTTTTCTCTGCTTGCTCTCTGTAACGTAGACTTTCCTCTCTTCACTTAATCCTCTCTTCCTAGACCATTTTGTCCATCCTCACCATTTCAACGGTTATCTGTAAATTGACAATTCCTATTTTTATCTCCACCTCAGACTTCTCCGGTGACTTCCAGAAACTATGATATTTCTCCATATGATGTCCAAAGGTAATTCAGACTAAACATATCAAGAAAATCTCATGTATCTTTTTTCCCCTGTAACTGGAAGTTTCTCCTGAAATCCCTTAGTTGACAGTATTACTATCTATTGCCCCATCGAGACATCTGGGTTATCATTCTCTCGTTTTTGAAAACTAATCTTTCTCAAAGTCCCATCAATTCCAGCCCTTAAATATTAAAAAAACAAACAAACAAATAGGTCATGTGACCTTTTACATGGTCTTGCCACCTTCAACTTTACTCCCTTCCAATCAACCATCTATAAAGCTGCCAAAATGATCCAACACATAAATCTGGTCATGTTTCTCCCAAGCTAGAATAATTTCTAGGGCATCTCACTGCTTAAACAATTGTTTTATTCACTCATTCAAAAAATATCTACCGTTTAATGACAACAGATATGGTGTTAGGCATTGAATATACTACAGTGAATGAAAACATTCAGAGAATACAGAGAAAGACAGGTATTAAACAATCCCTAAAATAAAGGTATGATTATAAATTCTGACAAATGTGATGAGAGACAGCAGGTCACAAAAAGATAAAGAGGGGAGAACTACTTCAGATTAGAACATCATACTACTTTTGGAAAAGTAGCATCTAAGTGAGTTTTGATGAGTAGAAGTTGCTGAAGACAAAAACATTTTGGTAGAGACAACAGCATTCACAAGAGATTTAAGAGGGAAATGAGCTTAAGTGTTAGAAAAACGAAATAAGGCCAAATTGTCAAAAGCTTAGTGAGTGAGAGAAAGGGCCCGGTGTGTACGGCTCTGCAAGCCAAGGTATGGATTTAGGTTGCCTTAAGGGCAAACAGGCCGTTTAAAAGTTTTATGCAAGTGAATAATAATATGCTTAGATTTACATTTTTAAAAGTTTACTCTGCCTGGTGATAAGAGAACAGATACAGCCTGAAAGGATGTGAGGAGACCAGTTAAGAGGTTACTGTATTAGTCAAGGTGAGAAAGACAGTAGTGGGAAGTTTCAGTTCACTTTTATAGTAGAGGTTATCTCTAGGTGATAAAACCCTGTCATGTAGAAGTCCCCAGTACATTAAAAGAGGTACCGCTAAACAAAAAGACATGTAAAACCTCAGGACCTAATTCATTTGGATATGCTGTCATTTGAACATTTCTGCTCAGAGAACTTCCTACCAAGTTACACTGTTGATGGTCTATCATCATGCAGCTTCTGCCAAGCCTACTCAGTATCTGACCTTTTATATAACATCTCCACTCATAACTACAAAGCAAACATGCTTTACATGGCCCAAAAAATACTCCTGATTTCTGCCCCCGAACTAGCTTACCCTAGTAAATGGAATCGTTTACCCAGGCATTGATGGCAAAAATCTGGGAGCTATCTTTTATTCTCATTTCTTTCTGTCATATGTCATAACATATATAAATTAATTACCAACGTAAATATAATATTCAACATAATTCTATGGAAATTTTTCTGTAAGATTAAATAAAATATGAATGTGGCTACAAACTCTTCAGTAGTATTTACATTCATATAGACTTACCAAAAAAAAGATTATTTGATTAGAGAGCAGTTCTAAACAGTAGTACAATATATTATATATAATAATTGTGTTTTACACTTTAATCATTCTTTACTGTTAATATCTCTACAATAAATGTATAAAGATAAAACATGCATAACTTCTTAGTTCTCAAATTCACTTATGAATTCATTCATTTTCAAGAACAGAAAAACCTATAGCAAATATTTGCCATCTCAGGTCTATAAAGAATAATTTAAGATCAGATGTACAGAAGGAGTTTTTTAATTTGTTTCAAAATTAGTTTCTGAATAATTCTCCAAGAAGACAGTTAAAATTAGATCTATTTCACACTAAATAGGTACTTCAGCAATATTTCATTTCCCCAATGACAAATGAGTCACCCTACATATGGAAACTTTGTCAACTAAAGCTTATGGCTTTAGGGCTAAGTTACATTTTTGAAAAATATTTGTAAAATCTACTTCATCAACCTCTGCTTAAGGCTCCAAAGTAGACTGTACACCTCTCCTACTTCAGAAGGCAAGTGGAAGAGGAAGTTATTTTCCCTTCTGATCTGTGACTTCGGAGCTTATCTCTGCATTGACAATCGTATTTCTTAAAGCTACCTAGAGTTCAACCATCAGATAAGTGAGACATAAGACCAAGTATTATGACAGCAATGTAGTAATGCAGAACATTTTTATGCTCAAATAACTTTTTCAAAAGTAGCCACCAGGTAATATGCTAACCTCACACCTAAGCTCTACACACAATTTTATGACAGCTAGAATTTGTAAAAAGGGATCTTTTTTATATACATATAATACTGTTATAGGGAGAGATTTCAAATAAATTAGCTTACACAGAAAGTAATTTGTATGGTCCAAGGAGGCTCTTTGGGCATAATACCACCTAAGATAATTTAGCCCACAAAATACTGACTATTTAGACCATAATCACAATGAAATGCTATGAAAAAGTGAGAGAGAGCGTGGTTTATGCATTGCAATAAACTATGGATGGATGGGCATAGCGCATCTCCTGTTGCACGCACCCTGTTGCTCGTCAAGTGACATGGATCCAAGCTGTTTGTTAACCACAGAAGAAGGAGAATCTGAAACAAAAATGAGATTTTAACTTAAAAGTAAGCAGCAGAAAACTGCACAGCAATGTCATGATCATCTCTAAGCTTAAGAAACAAATGTATAATGGTGGGGAATAGAAGTAAGTACTGTGGTGTATTTCCCAAGCAGTGAGTAAGCAAGGCCATGTGCTTAAGATATGTTATTCCAGGCAAGCATTTAGCAACTTTGAGAATGAGTTGAGAAAATGTTCTTCTACTTCCATGCATATACTTTTTATCAAACTCATTTAGCACAGGCACAAAGTGCAAGGTAGATAAAATAGAAACAGAGTATCTCCCTCACCAAAAGAAAGACTCCTTGTCTTTCTCAAACCCTCTTTCCAGCTCCTTAAGATGGCTTTATTTTGGATTGGAGGATTCAAAGCATGAAATGAGATGCTGACTACACTTAGCTAGATGTTATCTTGAGTTGAAAAAGGAACTCAGACATAAGACAAGGAAAATGGTTTATGAGAAATATTTAATGATGTAATTACCATTATAGAAACATAGTAACTTTTAAAAACTCTATGGTATGTGGTACATATTAAAACTGTACTGTGAAGCCTTTGGTTTCTTAAGGTGTATGGTGAGAAAAGGAAAAGAAAGGCAAAGAAAAGGCTTATGGTTTGGGCTTCACGCTTCCTACCTTGGCTTCAAACAGAATGTTTTATTTTTACCCTTTGGATACACTGAGTTTCTATGTAAAAGAATTTGTTTTATAAATAAATGGGTTCTACTGTTTGAAAAACACTCGTATAAAGTAAGGCAGCATGATGAAATGGAAAATGCACCAGTCTAGAATTAGTCAGTGTTGATTCCAACTTTGGTTTTGACAATAAATTAACTGTGTGACAGAGGACAAGTCACAATATTTTTAGGTCTAACACGCTCCTTTCTTCCTGGTCATTCTAGAGATCTGGTAACTAAGAAAGGCATGAGGGAACAGAAGGAGGTAGCTACTATTACTGGCTTGGGTTCCAGTGTCCTAGCAGAGCTACAGGAAAAGAGAAAATGTGGATAGCAAGCATACAAAGCTCTCCACTAAATGTAAGAATAATTCCTAGTTTCTAACAACCTATGCTCTGCTGCTGCTGAGTCACTTCAGTCGTGTCCGACTCTGTGCGACCCCATAGACGGCAGTCCACCAGGCTCCGCCGTTGCTGGGATTCTCCAGGCAGGAACACTGGAGTGGGTTGCCATTTCCTTCTCCAATGCATGAAAGTGAAAAGTGAAAGTGAAAGTGAAGTTGTGTCCCACTCTTAGCGACCCCATGGACCGCAGCCCACCAGGCTCCTCTGCCCATGGGATTCTCCAGGCAAGAGTGCTGGAGTGGGGTGCCACTGCCTCCTCCGAGCCTATGCTCTAGTTCTTAGCAAAGTTGTTCATAAAAACTCTGCACTTCTGACTGATCAATAGCTATTTATAATGACACATTATTCTCCCAACGGTAAGTATTTCGATTTATGAGTGACCATAACTCAATAGCTAAGTTTTCTAATATATCTTTGATTCTTAGCAATTTTATACCACTTGACTGCTTGTACACTTAAAACTCTGAATCCTGCTACCAGGACTACTTATATTAATTTCAAATTGTCTGCCTTCTGAGGTAACCAGTTTGGTCATAAATTTTTACACTACTAGATTTTCATAAAGCATGATCATTATTTAAATAATAGTATCCTTATCACTGCTTCATCAGAATATTCAGCTCAACAAATCTGTTGCTGTTGTGTAGTCGCTCAGTTGTGTCCAAGTCTTTGCGACCCATGGACTGCAGTCTACCAGGCTCCTCTGCCCATGGGATTCTCCAGGCAAGAGTACTGGAGTGGGTTGCCATTGCCTTCTCCAGGGAATCTTCCCGACCCAGGGATCAAGCCTGCATCTCCTGCAAAGGCAGGCATTTTTTACCTATGAGCCACCAGGGGAGCGCCGACATATCTGCACTAAACAAAAAAGAAAACGGGAAGATGGTAATTTAACTGGTTCCCTAATCTAGTCACACTATACGTTCTTTTATAAGACTTCTCAAATATCAGTTTCTGAGTTAGACACAATATTCCTGTTTATGTTCTTTCTGAAGAGCAGATGAGTCAATCTTTGGGAAAAAAACATAATTATATTTTTTAAGAAAAATGAAAAAATGTGAGTCAGTGAAATGAGTATTGGAAAATCTTCCTAGAAAGCCTCTTATGAAATATTTTTTATCCCTTTGGATCCATTATACATTCCATTATACTCTTCCTAAGAGCCTGAGAACAACTTTCCATGCAATCTTTTTTCAAATATTTAATTTTGTCACGAATATTATGGAATGTACAAATCTTAAGAAATAAAGTGCATCTTATGCAAGTTTTTAAATAAAACACACTGAGAAAGGATCAAAATGCTGTCATCTCAAAGAACTGTGTATGTTCAAACTCTTGAAGTATTTAATTAATGAAGCTTAGATTAAGGCAGAAAGATAATGTTAAATTAAAAGGTCTTCCTTCTTGGTTTTACAGTCTGTCCAGATATTATGTATATCTGGGGAATAATCTTTCTTCACATGTTGAAGAACAATTTTTAAGAAGAAATCCTTCTTGATCATTGCTTCCATTCTATTTTTAATTTTGGGTACTATGCAACTGTTTTTGAAAGGATTACTATCCTGTTACATAAACATTTGAAGTAAAATGTTTCTATATCACTAGATATTCATAAATATAATACCTATAACTTCTAATTTACAGAAATACTTCCAAATATCCAAATATTGACATAATAATCATCAGAATACCTAATATTAAAAAAAAGTAAGTATTATTTCAATGGTTTTTGCTTCAATGTTTGCATACTCTACTCCAACTCTCTGTGAAATATCTTCTAGAAAGCACTATCACAAAATAAAAATTGGCTATATGGTCCCATAATAATTTATTACAAAATGCAGTACAGTTGGTCAGCTTATTGCCAGTCTCTTAGATTATTATTATTTTTAAAGTATAGATAAACTTTAAGCAAAAACTCCTTCAGTCTAAGCTAAGGTGTCTCATGCCTAATTACTATATATCTCCAAATATTTCATGTTCTAGTTTTGAGAAAATTCTTTAGCCCCTTGACATTCAAACTTTCTTAACTGTAGGAAAAAATAAAGAATTATAATTTAAATAACAAAGACTCTAGTCAGACTCCCTGGGTTCAAATCTGGCTTTTCTACTCAGTAATACTGTAATCATGGGCAAGTTATTTAACATCTCTAAGTCTCAGTTTCTCCATCTGTAGAATAGGGACAATTATGATATCTACCACATACTGTTCTTGTGAGGATCTAATGAGATAATCTATGTAAGCTACTTCAATAGCACATAGGAAAGGGTCAACTAATGTTATTACTTGCTTGTTTTTCTCAAACATAGTGTTGAATGAAAAACACAGAGCACAGTCCCACATTTAAAGTTCTAAGCGACCCATCACTGTGTTGCTTAGGACCCTGTCATTTAAAGTTGTTAAAAAGTACTTGCAGAACTAAGTCAACATCACATTTGATTTACTAAATGCTCATGTTATAAACACTAAAAACCTGGGTCAAATGCATCCACTTGAGAAGTGCTACCTGTAATTAACATCATGGACACTGTGGGGAACTGGATGTTGTACAGAAGACTATTTTCACAGGACTGGGTAAATGCTGATTTTTTCCAATATGGCTCAGTTTTGAAAAGCCCTTTAAAATATTCACCAATGTTTTATACCCTTTATAGGGCATAAAAATTACTTTTTTCTTTTCCAATTGGCAAAACCGTGCCATAAAGTGAAAAAACAGTTCCTACCTGACACCCTCTCTAGGCTGGCTCCATGCTCCAGTGGGGCTCTGTGGTGGTTGGGCCAGTACCAGCAGACTCCACAGGGTGTGGTCACTCTGAGCAGGAGCCAGCAACCCATGACTTCAGGGGACCTGAAATGGAAAGAAAGAGTTGGGTTTAAAATCAGCCATATGCTGAATGCCTCTGCCACAGCTGTTTATGGCATTCATCCGAAAAACATACATACAGCTCATTCAAAACCCTGAATACTATCAATCTTTCATGGTCGTAATATGAGGATATCTTTAGGTATTTATAGTAAGTTAAAGCTACTATAATTAAGATAGTCCAATATTATGTGTACTTTTCTATTTAGGAGGATAAAAACTTTATACAGTATTCTCTATCCCATCCTTATGCCACGCTAACTAAATAAATCAATAGCTGGGAAACTGAGGCATAAAGCAACCAAATGACCTGCCCAAGGTCGTTTTTCATAAGGCCAGGAATAAGAACTCAGCCAGTCTAACACCTAGACAGTGATCTGATGAAAGTAAATTCATCTCTTTATGATTTAAAAAAAAAATCACTGAAAGATTAGAAACGAGTTGTGATGTATTTCCTAAAAGTCTAAAAAAAGTGCACTTTTTAAAAACTAAAAATGTGAATATTTTATAGAAATACATACTAATTTTGAAAAATAAAATATTAGAAATTAGCTATGAATAATTATCATTTACAGGTGTCAAAAATTGTTTTAGAGCAGTGGTTTTTCTTCTGAGAGCAGAGGTGGCTTGGGTGTGGCAAGAGGGACGAGGAATTAGGCTGTCATTTCTTAACACTCTTCTTTTTGTTCAGTCACAACAGTGTGTCATTTATGTATTTTATATTAGAATTTCCCCATGAAATTCTAATTTCACAGCTGAAAAAATGGGAGGGGGAGAATTGTTTAAAATGTATATTAACATCTATCTTTTACAGATCATTTTAAATACTGCTTGGTGCCTTGGAGAATTGTTTAAAATGTATGTTACAATCTATCTTACACAGCTCATTTTACTACTGTTTGATGCCTTAGAATGTTTTAGTCTTCAATTGCCAAGAAATATTGGCATCAGACACGTTCTCATTTGATCCCATTAAAATGTAGACTCTATAAAACGGTTTGAGGGTTTGATGCCATTTTCCTACAGAAATTAGGTA